ATGATCCTCTATATGATCGCAAATGATTTTTATGGTTTCACGGACTGGTACATTAGTAAATAGGGACTGGACATCGAATGAAGCCATGTGTTTTCCTTCAACGTTTATCTTGTCCAGCACGTCGATCAATTCGAAACTGTCCTTGACGGTATATTTCACCATTGATCTGTGAACTGGTTCTAACACCTTGATTAGCCATTTGGTGCTGTGGTGAGTTTGTCATGGACAGGATGGGTCTGAGTGGTATGTCAGGTTTGTGGAGTTTTGGCAGGCCATAAAGTTGTGGAATATGAGTTCCTCTAGACTTCAGATTCCGGGCAGTGTTCTCATCAATGAAATGTCCCTCCAATAAGAACTGAACTTCAGAGGCGATTTTGCGCTCCAGTTCTGCCGGTTCATCACAAGTCTTTTCTCGTAAGAACTTGCTAGGGTCATTGAGGATGTGCTCCATCTTTCTTTGGTAATCTGAACGGTCCATTAGGACAGCCCCCGATCCTTTTTCAGGGTGTAAAATGACCAAATCGGACTTTTCCTTTAATTCCTTTTGTGTCAACAAAAAGAACTTTATGTTAGTTTATCCTTACCCTGGTGATGGTCTTTTTACCCCTCCCCCTTTTATGTTTTTTCCTGCTTCATTGTATTTGACTCATCTTTGTTGCCATGCGAAATCCCTATATAAGTATTGTATTTTCTGCAGTATGCACCATGTTGAGATGCAGCGAAATCGTCCTGGACATAAATCAAGCAGTACTACTTAATTCACTACTTGCGTACTTATTGACTCATACTGGCTACAGCAGTACATTTCAACCCTTTGCACAGCCAAATGCGGAGTATAAGGTGGTTATGTGTTGGTTCATGTTTCCACCGGCACCCTAGGAGCGCATTCATCATTCAATAGAAGTAGCTGCATCCCATGGATTCATGGATTCCTGTTTTTTGGATAGGTTTCCCTTATACCTGTCTCATCTGGCAATAAAGCTCAGCCAAGTGTAACTGTTTTTGCATGTCGCCCATCGTCTCGGGGATCGTTCAAGGCTGGATTGGCACTTCTTTCGAGAGTTTGCTGAGGTGTGGCTGTTGATGGACGCTTCTGCTTCTTAGATTTATAGGTGAGAGTTAAGTGAATGACAGAAATCAAACAGAATTTGCATGCCCTAAAAGTCACTCCAGGCTTCCGGCTTAGATGTGTTTCTCCTGTGTCCCAGATGAAGGTTTTCTTGAAATTGATCAACATTTTGACTATTTTTCTTGAACTAACCCCCTTATGGACCTAACTTGATGATTGGTGGATTGGTGGATTACATACGCGAGGGATCACCTGGAAGTCAGCCCCGAATTCTCCCCATAAGAAATCAATTAGATGCACGTTTTCAGTTCTCGTGGTGTTATGTCGCTGGATTCACTCTCTAATCCAACGGGAAATCAAATTTTTTCTCTCAGGCTGATTTTTTCCATTGAAATAATGAAATATTCAACTGCCTTCTATCTATCCTCCTTTCTAGAGAAAAAGATTTATGCGCATCCCTTCTAAAACAGAGTATCGATTAGACTCCCTTGCTAAGTCATTCCGCTCTCTCGTCTAAGCAATTATCCAATCGATGAAGTGGTTACCTTTAAGCATTTTCGCATTAAAACCCATTCATATACAGGCATAGAGGGCGAATTAACTTATCTGTACGGGATCTCCCTTTTTTCCGGTTGCGCTTTCCCTGCTCGTTGACCATCAAATTGATCCGGATCCACTTAGTTTTACCTTCCGCGTTCAGCTACTGATAAACTATGAGTAGAGTTACCGCACTAATATAGCACTTCTTTCGTGTTTTCTTCGGTTCAACAAAGAATTATTGGTAGCAGGTTATTTTGTTTGCGATACATTTTGCATGTCAGATGGTGAAACCGACAGCATTACTTTATTGGAGCAGAGAAATAGCGCTAGGTGCATTTAAAGCTGAAATGTGTGATCGAACCGACCGCAACTTCCACCACGCGTATATTATCTTTTATTATACTCCACAACCATCACAGCCACCATAGCCACCACTACAACCAAAACCAACATCATCATCACCACCTCCCAGTTCCACATAGTCCTTCAGTTGGGGTCTTGGATTTCATGGAGAACCGGCGATTCTGTGTGCAAATAGGCTGAAACGAAACGGACTTATTATTATTATTATTATTATTATTATTATTATTATTATTATTATTATGTGACTAAATTTCACCTACAAATCCTCCTTTACAGCTCAATCAGACCTACAACTTAATCAGCAGCAGCTCCAACAAAACAAGGACACAATGGAACATTCCGGTCTCACAATATCGGGCCATGAAAAAAGTAGAGCTGGTCGAACCATCCTGATGTTGGAAAGGCAAAATCCGGATAAAATACTAGTCCCGAACGAACCGACACTCGGAAACTACGCGGATAAAGATTCTCGCGATAGCGACTTAGAGTCCGAAGACACCACATCGTATATGGCACAACCACTGATCGAACCCCTATCCGATCATGGCTCAATGGCAGATGCTATAACTGTTCCACCTGGGGACCTGGACCCGTATTATAGAGACCTCAATCATGCAATTCTCAGGTACTTCAAATCTGTTCTACAACGCATGACCGATCACAGTGAACGAACACGTCGAGCGAAAGCTCTGGAGTTTTTGGTCCAGTACAGCGGACACATGACGAATGAGCCAAAATATCGATTTCCTCGGGCAGATAATCAGGTATCTCTGGCATCCATTCTTCGAAGGTCTGTACTCATTGATATTTTCAATGAGCTGGATTATAATGGTAAGTTGCACGGCTTGATACCTGAAATTATGATTGGTTGATTGATGAATATTAAATGGTTATTTCTGCCAAGCGTTTTCTGATTGGCTTTGACAGAGAGCTTTTTATTCCACACATTTGTGTGGTGAGCAGCAGACAGGGCGAACCCCATAGTCACCAAGACCTGCTGTTCCGTCATGGAAACCGGTGAGCCCCGGAACTTGGAGTGGCGAACCACATAAGGCCCCTCTAGTTAAGGCAGACAGAGCTGAACCTGAGTTAAAAAATATGGGAGAGCAATAACTGGTTTAACACAGAAAATAATTTAATTAAACTGAATTATAACTTGAACAATTTTAATTTTTTTTCGCCATTGTTCTTTGTTTTTGTTCTGTTTCAGCAACTTACGGGAGCGAAATTAAGACCAGAGCAGAAGCAAAAGAAAGTAGGCATCATTCATTCAGTAATTAGTTAGATCAGTTGTAACTCAATTTTATTGATAACGATCATACTAATCTCCAAACGGAAGCAATAGCGTTCATCTGTTTTCACTTGCAGGTGACGGTTCAATCAGCCCGGCAGAATTGGATTTATTTCTTCGATTTCATGAAATTCTGCCCTAAATCATGAATCAAAACCGGTGAATATTTATCCCAACCGTGCGACTGGTCAACGATCACGCCAGGGGGAAAATCTCTCATCACACAGTACGCATACCGCAAGTAACGGGTGCACGAGCTCAGATGCGTCATAACTTGACCAGTGATGCAGTGACGCGATCGCGGTACTGACTTATCATTCCAGCTCATGATAATTCGATTTTTCATTCATGTTACCAGCTTCTCATCCAGACAGAGACACTCCAACTAATGCATTGGCTGGTGTGAACCAACCCAACGGGTTTTCACCGATCAAAAGTTTGTCATGGTGTCGTTTTACTTGGCTCTGTCCAACTGTTTTTCTGTCACCACGGACAGACACCCCTTCCCTTCATTATCAATTGTTTTCATTGAGTAAAGGAGTGTCTAGTAAAGAGTAACTCTGTTTTTTTATCTGGGGCGGTTTCAGATAGGATCTCCGATTCAGAGAACTCTCTTGTGTTTACACTATAATGAGGACGAGTGATGGAGAGAAAACAATTGCATTCAGTGCTTCTCAGTCGTCCTCTAACACGGTCTTCAATAGTTGATGTTGATGGTTATTTGTCCAGAAGTTAAAATAATGAGGTTTGGAATCGATGGGAGTTTCTCTGTGAAAGCGTTTCATACACAAGTTACGGTTGATTAGTGACTGATCTGGCTCCGGTTCCGTTTGGTATTCTTTTTCGCTCAAGTGTACATGACTGCAACACACAAAGTGAGGCACTTATACGTACTGCTTTCCACGTACAAAGCGAAATTTATCAAGTGAATAGCAAAAGCTACCAGTGCGATCAGCTTACGCAGCGTGTAGATAGCCTTAATCAATCGGAATGTATCCGGTATTTAATTCTAAGAATTCTTTTATAATCTAAGTTATGACTGCTTCCACCAGTTCATCGAAAATGATGTCGTGCCTGACAAACCAGTTCACAGTTACAGCGTAACGTGCTCCCACCCACTTGGACCCATCCAGTGGTGTGAATAAAACAGAATAATTCATTCGGAAGCAAACCGGTAGGCCAGTGAAAAACTGCTGAGTATGAACAAAGTGATGATGTAGTTCCCGTGCCTCAAACATGCATTCGCCATGGTGAGCCCAGATGCCGTAGAAATTGTTATCTTTGAATTTCATGGAGTACTAGAAGTAACTGTTCATGGGGACTCTTCAAATAAACTTGGGGAAGAACTATGTTCTCACCTTGACGAATAATTGCTGGGAATGCCAAAAAGACGCACTGAAATAGTCTTTTAGTCTTTGTGAGTACCCATCAGCAGAGTGAACAGTTTTTCTGTCTTGCCCGGACTCAAACCGCGAGCCTTCGGGTTTGCAATGAAAACTGTTACGTGTGAACAATGCGATTGACGGTTAACGCATTGTTATGTGGATTAAACACGTGCCTGTTTAACCTCGCAATTTCACAAGTGACTGCGTGTTAGTGAAGACGATTTTATTTGTATCCTGATCTGTTTTCTATCCATCCAATAATAATATTGCGTACATTAGTAGCGTATCATAAATTTTATGAATTTATGTATTTGTAAAGTTCAAGAAAAATATGGTAATTCATGAAACGTTCAAACCCCGAAGGAAGTAAAGCAAAACATTCGCCATTTTGAAGCACTTCAAGTCCATACATGAGCAACACCATCCCCTGGGGATACAGGGAGCCATGGAGTGTCGAGTGGTACACACAATGTTCCGAGTATCAATAAACAAATAACGAGATGCGGCTCTTAAATAAATGCTCCCCTGGATGGCGTGTCCTAAAGCATCTGTTGTGAGAACTCCACGCACTACCTTCTCGTCGCAAAGGGTTTTTCATGAATTTGATTGGGCGATAGGGTAAAATCATGTATATAGTTAGTTTGGTGAGCCCCAGGCAGTTGGTGCATCCTGGGAGAGCTGAAAACCATGGTTTTACCCTATCGCC